CAGGTTACACATTAATTGTTCATTAGAGTTTCAACAGAGTTTCAACAGTCATTAAGAGGTTTCGCCCACAACCTTAGGTTGGACAGACCATTAATCATTAGAAGGGCTGGAACTCAATCACACTGGGTTTAGTAGTTGATTACAGTCAAAGACTATTTTATGTGAGGGTTATATATTTATTAGATGTTAGGAGTTATTATTGTGTTATTGTTGTCAAGATTGTTATCCACCCTCTTCCTATTAACTTGGTCTAAAACTAGGTGTATTTATACCTCTTGGGGCAGTACAAATAATGTGATTTGTGCTATTCTACTCTCTAATAATATGCCTATTAACTAATTACTAATCTTAAATAAATATTTACATCAAATGAGTAATACATGAAATACATAAGTAGAAATATGAATATAAAGATCTTCAATATAACTTTACACAATATGTGGAACAACCGTTACAATAATATATATATATATATAGAAAGCTGGTCGTTGATCGCGATGTAATATTTGGCGTATCACATGACTTCCGTAGTAAGTTCGTTCTAATTGGTCAATATTAACCAGGCAATTGATAGGTCCAAGATTTACTATCTCACACCACTTACAGATGAATTTTTTTAATTGCTACCCAGACCACTAGCTTGCATTGCAGGATAGAGGTAATACAATTAGCTAATTTCTTTGCATCTTTCATATCATCACTGCCAAAATCACATTGATGAGATCCAGATACTTCTACTTGAGGGTCTTCCAGGGATCCAATCCATTAAAAAAAAACTATTGTGATGCATTTGTCACAATGCCATATATTCAGACTTGAGATTTTGTATCTCTCATCTATCTTCTGTTGTCTGTTTATTTTCTAAAAATGGCTTGTAAGATGTCAATAAGCAAACAATAATAAGCAGAATAATAGTATGTACAATATTTTCATTTACCTTCACAGCATTATGCATTTGCGCAATGTTTTGGGCAGCACCTTTTTCAAATCTTCTTTAGCTTCACATACCAATAAAACAAATTCCTCAAGATGTACAGAATAGTTGACAGGATCAAAACTACAACTTCCATCAAGCCATTCTTCACTCTTGAGACAAAGCTTACTTTCTTGTGACTGGACATTTTATTCAACAGGGAATTTTGTAGGTCCTGGACTGCCTTTGACAAGAATCCAAAGTGTTAACTTCTCAGAACATAATGACATTGCTGATGACATTGCTGACATTTTGTTTATTCTATCTTCTAAATCTTTAAAAAAGCAAAAGGCAATGTTTAATTTTAATTATCATAACTATTTTTAAATTAATTTACAATTACATGCCCCAATTATTTGTAATCATTTGTAGTACAAATGTTCACTTTTGTCTGGCTTTGTCTCAGTATTCTCCATATAAGATAATCAATAGAGAGAGAAACTTGTTGTTATACAAGATTTTATACAGAGCCCGTTGCCTCCTGAAACTTCACCAGTATATGGTTGTTACCTCTCTAAATTGGTGATCAAGTTCAGATCAATTCAAATCCAGTTTATCACTTACTTTTCATTGCCAGAATGTTTGCCGTTTATTGTAAAGTTACATTGCACAATATCAAAATTAGTGTAACATTTCAAATTTCCACTATGCTATATAATATCATAGGCAGAAGTTTGTCTGATTGGCTAATTTTGCCGATCAATTTCAATTGAGTTCGCATATTATTTATATAGTTT